CCTCTGCAATATTTTTTCATCTAGATAAATAACTTCCATTTCTACTGCTGTTGTTCTGTTTGCATTGTCTGAGAGCTGAGATTATTTTTATTCTAACAAGTGTAATAAGTTCTTATATTGCTACCTTGCTTTCAATTTCTACTTCAATTTGTAATTGCCTTGAGATTATAAGTTTTAAGTTCTACTGATTTAGACTAGGTTGTGATAAAGCACACCATAACAAAGAAAGAAAACCAAAAATTAAACAAGATCCTATTTATTAAACATGTGGGGAATCTGAAACTAGTATATTTAGAGACTGTGTTATATTGCAATGCGTCTCAGGAGTCATCTTATGGTACGAAATTACTACTAGAGCAATGTCCTGCATCACTATTTTCAAGTCAACCAAAAACAAAAATAAAAAAAATGAGTTTACATTGTGGAAAAATGTTTTTGTTAATTTGTTTTTTCTTTTAATTTGATTTTATTATTTTTTTAAAAAGAAAGCAGACTATCTTTTTTCATTATACATACCAATCTAAGTTCCCACTCACTCCCCTCCTCCCATTCCTTCTGCATATCACCCTACCCCAGTCCATTCACTCTTCAGAGAGGGTAAGGCACATTGGGCAGAATGAGAAAAGATCTTCACCAACCCCACATCAGACAAAGGATTGATCTCCAAAATATATAAATAACTCAAAAAATTAGACATAAAAATTCTAAATAACCCATTTAAAAATGGGGTACAGAACTAAACAGAGAATTCTCAACAGAAGAACCTCAAATGGCCACTTGACATTAAGAAAGACACTTAAGAAAATGTTCAACATCCTTAGTTCAGGGAAATGCAAATTAAAACAACTCTGAGATACCATCTTACACCTGTAATAATGGCTAAGATAAAAAACACCAATGATAACTTAGTTGGAGAGGATGTGGAGTAAGGGGAATACTCATTCATTGCTGGTGGGAATGCAAACTTGTCTAGCCACTTTGGAAATCAGTACAGAGGTTTCTCAGAAAATTGGGAATCAATCTACCTCAGGATCCAGCAATATCACTCTTGTGCATATACCCAAAAGATGACCAATCATACTACAAAGACATTTGTTCAATTATGTTCATAGCAGCATTATTTGTAATAGCCCAAACCTGGAAACAATGGATAACGTAAATGTGGCACATTTACACAGTGGAGTACTACTTAGCTGTAATGACAATAACATCTTGAATTTTGTATGCAAATAGATGGAACTAGAAAACACCATCCTAAGTGAGGTAACCCAGACCCAAAAAGATGAAAATGGTATGTACTCACTTATAAGTGGATTCTAGCCATAAACAAAGGACATCGAGCCTATAGTTCATGATTCCAGAGAAGCTAAGCAACAAAGTGAACCCTAAGAAAAACATATATAGATCCACCTGGAAAGTTGAAAAATACAAGATCATTTGAATAATTGGAAATATAGGGGTTGGGGGAGAAGGGAGGGTAAAAGGGGAAGAGGAGGAGAGAATGGGAGGGGTGAGGAGAACTTGAGGGAACTGGATAGTTGAGAAGGATGAAGGATAAAGATGAGAGCAAGAAAGAGATATCTTGTTTGAGGGAGCCATTACGGGGTTAACAAGAAACCTGGTTCTAGAGAAATTCCCGGGAATCCACAAGGATGACCCCAGCTAAGACCCTAAACAATAGAGGAGAGTGTGCCCAAACTGGCCTGGCCCTGTAGTAAGACTGATGAACATCTTAAATATCATCATAGAACCTTCATCCAGCGACTGATGGAAACAGAGGCAGAGACCCACATTGAAGCACTGTACTGAGCTCCCAAAGTCTAGTTGAAGAGTAGGAGGAATGAGAATATGAGTGAAGAGGTTAAGACCATTATGGGTACACCCACTGAAACAATCTACCTGAGCTAATGGGAGCTCACAAACACCAGTCGGACTGGAAAGGAACAAGCATAGGACCAAACTAGACCCTCTGAAAGTGGTTGACAGTTGTATTCCTGGGGCAGACTGAGGGGCCACTGGCAGTGGCACCAGGGTTTATTCCTACTCCTTGTACTGGCTTTTTGAGAAGCTATTCTCTTTGGAGGGATACTTTGTTTAGCCTTGATATAGTAGGGAGGGCTTTGGACCTTCCTCCAAAGCACTGTGAAAGCTTTAATAGCACAGAGTACTCTGACTTTAGTCATTGCTTCATAGACAGTTACATGTGGTTCTGCTAACGTGATGTGCGAAAGAAGGTGAGCAGATGGTTACGCATGTGGATGGAGATAGTCACAGTTACTGCAGGTGACTTGTAATATCCAGCTCTTGTTTGCTTACCATTGCCTTGATACACATGATATAGTTTAGAGGTTTCTTCCAGTTCATGAGTATCTGGTCCTTCTCTGCAAGGCTCTCTCTAGTTGACATACTCTCCTGAAAAGAACCTGTTGTGGCTCTTGCCTTTCTGCACTAGAGTCTAGCAGGGAGGGTGACACTAAGGACAAAATGCTAAGTGCTCACTGGAGTGTACGCACGTTATATTTTTTTTCATCACTCTCTTTCAATTTGGTGGCCCTGATTACTCCTGATTAGCTTTGCCTGGGCTCTGATGTCTAACTCTATCTTAACAGATCTCATTTCTCTTCATCTGGATTCAATTTTAATACTTTACAATCCACTTACTGTGCCTTTACTCAGTAAAAATGTAATGTTATCCTTTTCTTTTTAAATATTTCTTTTTAATTTTTTATACATTTCCATTTCCTTCCTCCCATCCTTCTCAGCTTCTTCTGTGGTCCCCCATAACCTTCAACTTTTGAAAGGCAACCAAAGGCAACAGCAATAGTCTATACTGTTTTGGGAGTCACTTACACTACTATGACCAAACAATCTAAATGAAACTTCTCATGCCTGGTACTGGGGTTCTTGTGAGGAACATTGGCAGCTTCAGAGACATAACTACCTTTAAGATACAAAAGAGAGAGATGTATATATATATATATATATATATATATATATATATATATATATATATGTATATATATATGTGTGTGTGTGTGTGTGTGTGTACATACACATATATATTATGTATGATCTTAGGTAGATACATAATAATAAGATTCCTTGCTTGAGGTTTATTAACAAACATTGATTTTTATCCCTTGGTGTTCTTTATCTCTTCTCCTTCTGTATTGATGCATCCATACTGGACTGATGTGCTGCAATCTGACTGCCTTAGATTGTTCTGTTCACCTAAGGTTTGCTTCATTGCTAAGTCAACTTCTTGCCTGGCAAAACAAGTTTGATTGATGTTAACATTAGTCGTTAATGTTCAATTAGTTTATCTGTAAAAATTTTACATTTGCTTCCTCATTTAAAATTTGTATCGTCCTATGTGGTAACTACTAGTCTTATGCCAATTGTTTCACGTTCTTACAATTCTTATTCCAACTTCCATATTAGTTTAGTCAATTACATTAAAATTTTTAGTGAACATGCATTTTTCAGGCAATGGGTAGACAGCAGAGAAAATGTCAGACAAAAGTTTTTGTTGGTGAGGGTATATAGACAATAGTTAAAAACAAATAAGCATTGGTGATACAGGGTGCCAAGAAGTACAAGGAAAGATGGATGTAGTTGGAGAAATTTTTCATGCAAATAGATGGAAATGGAAAACACTTTACTGAGTGAGGTAACCCAGACCCAAAAAGAGGAATATGGTATGTACTCACTCATAAGTGTATTCTAGCAATAAACAAAGGACATTAAGCCTATAGTTCGCGATCCTAGAGAAACTAAATAAGAAAGTGAACCCAAAGAAATACATATAGTTATCCTCCTGGATATTGGAAGTAGACAAGATAACCAGGCAGAAGTTGGGAGCAGGGGGGTTGGGGTGGGTTGGGGGGAAGGGGAAATGGGGAGAGAGAAGGGAGAAGGGGGGATTGGGGAGAGCTTGGGTGAATGGGATAATTGAGATGGAGGAAGGGTCGATATGGGAGCAGGGAAGAAGTTATCTTAACTAAGGGAGTTATTATAGGGTTGGCTAGAATCTTGACTCTAGAGGGGTTCCCAGGTGTTCAAGGGGATTTCCCCAACTAGGTCCTTGGGCAGCTGAGGAGAGGGCGCCTGAACTGGCCTTGACCCACAGCCACACTGATGAATATCTTGAATATCACCATAGGACCTTCATCTGGAGAGGGATGGAGATAGAGATAGAGACCCACATTGGAGCACTGGACTGAGCTCCCAAAACCCAGATGGAGAGCAGAAGGAGGGAGAATATAAAAAAGGAAGGCAGGACCGCGAGGGATGCGTCCACCCACGGAGACTGTGGAACTGATCTAGTGGGAGCTCACCAAGGCCAGCTGGACTGGGACTGAACAAGCATGTGATCAAATCGAACTCTCTGAATGTGACTAACAATGAGGGCGGACTGATAAGCCAAAGATAATGACACTGGATTTTGATTCTACTGCATGTACTGGCTTTTTGGGAGCCTAGTCTGTTTGGATGGACACCTTCCTAGGATGGGGGGGGGGGCCTTGGACTTCCCACAAGGCAGGGCACCCTGACTTCTCTTAGGACTGGACAGCGAGGGGAGAGGGAGAGTGGGGGAGGTGGGGGGAAATGGGAGGATGGGAGGAGGTGGAAATTTTAAATTAATTAATTAATTAAAAAATAAAAATAAAACAGAAAAAAAGAAGGTGATGTTTCATATAGGACCACTGTTGATGCTTTCATTTGTGGCATCTAGGCAGAGCCTTGAGAAAGACAGAATCAAGCCTATACCTCTCTAAAGAAAGATAAGACTATAGAACAGTTTGCCTTGACTTATCCTGGTGTGGTGGTTTGAATAAGAATTGCCCTCTATAGGCCCATAAGCTTGAATGCAGTTCCACATGGTGGAACTGTTTGGAAGGATTGGGATATGTGGACTTGTTGAAAGAAGTGTGCTACTCAGAGTAGGTTTTGAAGCTTCAAAAGCCAAAATTATTCCACTTGGCTCTCTTACCTATTAGTTCCCAGCTACTGCTCCAGCGCCATGCCTGACTGCCTGGTGCCATGAAAGTGATGGACGACCCTCTGAAACTGCAAGCAAGTCCCCAATAAACCCAATGTAAGTTGCTTTGGTCATAGTATCTCTTCGCAGCAGTAGCAAAGTAATGAAGACAGTTAGGGATACCGATGAGGCTGGTTTGCCTAGAGCAGAGTGAAAAGCAAAGGGATGGTAAAAATTGAAGTTGACTTGGGAGGGTTTGCAGGTCACAGGAAGGATTTGATCTTTTTCCTGCACTAGAAAATTACTAGAATTATTTGAATAGAAATATGATATATCATGATTTTGTACTAGAATATTCAAGATATTTTAGGGAAAGATTGTTGGGGACAAGGAGTAAATAGAGTAGGTAAAAAATAATGGTAGACTAAGGTGGATTGAGACAGTGGAAAGTGGTTAGATTTGAAGATTGAAGTTGCTTCTATTCTGATTGTTGTTTTGGTATGTTGTTTCCTTTCTTTCTTTCTTTCTTTCTTTCTTTCTTTCTTTCTTTCTTTCTTCCTCTTTCTTTCTTTCTTTCTTTCTTCCTTCCTTCCTTTCTTTCTATCTCTCTTTATTTCTTTCTATCTCTTTTTCTTTCTTTTTGCGATAAGACTTCACTCTGTAAGCCAAGCCTGGCCTTAAACATCTAAGCTTAAATTTCTGAGTGCTGGGCTTATGGGCATGTTCCAGTCTACTTAGAATATCCAGTATGATTTTCCTAGTGTTTTGAATGTGGGCTATGAGAAAAATGGATAAATCAAGGATGAAGCCAAAACAATTTGCTTCCATTGAGGGATAGAAAACTGGAAGAACCAAACTTGGGTGGGCAGGTGGAATATAAGGAACTTGATTTGGGGCATGTTGATTTTGACATGTAGCTAGAATGATTGAGTAGAAAGCTGAATATATGGACCTAGAACTGTGCCATAGAAAGTCAATGCAACATACCCAAGGCCTCACAATTGGAAGTGGAAGGGTGAGGCTCATCTAGAGATTCTGGATCCTGTGGTATTACTCTTAACTATGAACCACATCTTGATTGAGAATCCTACACTTCTTTTTGCATGGTGTTTCTGTGTTTGTGAGTACATTTCTTCTAAATCAGTCCTCTAGTTAACTTCTTTCCCATAGCTTCATTGGTCTTAGTCTTCTCCTTTCTCATTGCATATTACTATTGAGGTCAGTTTATCTTCTAAAAATGAGCATGATGGTCTAATAATGGATAAATGTTGGAAATGGAAGTAGCTATGGAGAAATCAGGGAGGTTCAACTCTTGATCCAGTTAGTATATTTTTTATGGGTAGGAAGAGGAAACAATAGATACTCTTAGAAAATCATTGTCTGACACTGACACCTGCCTTCTGGATTATCTTAAGAATTTGTATCCTTTTTTATTTTATTTATTTTATTCATATATATTAATAAAAGGATACAAATACTTTTCTGCTTTCTGTATTTTCGTGAGTAGTTACTAGTACAGATCTATTCATTTAGAAGATGTTAATGCACGAGTTCCTCTAACTGTGGTTGACACTCTGTTTCCCTGAAGCCATTTTACCATGGAATAGAAAACAAAGCTGGCAGAAGCCACAGGATCCTTCCAGCCTAGAACATACTTTTGTCATAGATGAGAAAACTGAGGCCAGGCAGTGACACAACAGGTCAGCAGTCTATCCAGACTTCCTAAACCACGGCTGTTACGTGCTGAGGGAATGTCCCGCGCTACCTTCTCGCCAGCAAGAACGACGCGGGGCACTTAGGATACTTCTGCAGTAAAGCTTTAATGCGTCTTGAGAGGGAGAGCATCAGCTTCCAAAGCGGAGACCCCGAATGAGGGGAACCCAGCCCTTATAAAGGAAACAGTCCTCGCTTCTGACGTGTCACTCTTGGATTGGTCCACTGCCCATTATCCCAGATGATGCCTCGGGAGTAGGCAGGGACGCAGCGGTAGAGAGTTACAAAGCACGTGCGCTGGGATTAAAGGCGTGTGCTACATCACCTTGAACTCAAAGAGATCTGCTTGTCTCTGCCTCCCAGGCATTGGGACCAAAGGCGTATACTACCACGCCTTGAGGTCACAGAGGTCAATCTGCCTCTGCCGCCCAGGCATCAGGACTAAAGGCGTGTGCCGCCACACCTTGGGGTCACAGAGGTCAATCTCTACCTTTGTTCCTAGAAGCAATGGAGAATGTGGTCCGGCCCTCCACAAGGGAATATGGGGACTGTTTCTTTATTAAAAGATAGGATTTAGAAAATGTCTTATTCTAATCATTCCTCTGTCAATCCCTGCCTCCAGTGCTTCCTAATGACTTCTCTGAGTATCATCCCCACCTTCATGCTTCTGAAATTGTGTAGCTCTCAAAGTGCAGGCTGTTTTCCCTTGTTCTGAATGGGTAATTCATAAGGAGATGCAAAAGTACCATGTCATGTTTTGCTTTCCCTCTGACCACATTATATGGACTTGTGTGTTGTCTCCCCACCCCGAGAATGTTCTGAGAGGTTCATTATACCAGAAGTACTTAGAAGCTCAAACTTGTTGCAGTTCAGCATGAGTTTATGTTCTATGAGAGTTTCAGTCACTTTTTTCTCTGTTACATTTATTGTAAAAAGGTGCCAATGGAAATAAAATATCTCATACATCTAAATGATTTAAATTAAGTAAAATAAAATTTTCCACTCTTTTGAATTAGGCTATTAAAACCATAGCTTATTCTAAGTACAGTATTAATGAGCAATATCTCAAGAAGAATATTAATTTTGCATTTCCTGACATAAAAATTTAAAACATGCAATTTTAGCTTTGCTTTAGGTAATATTTTGTATTCTCTTGACAGCTATTTGGAGGACCAAGAAATTAGAGCAAAAGGAAAAAGAGTAAGTTCAAAGTTGGATACATTATGTTCTGACATGGGTGTATGCTACCCTTTCATCTGGGTGCTAGCCTGCAGACTTTGAGTTGGTCTCAGATCACATGGCATTTTACATCATTCAATCCTTAGAGATAAAAATTCAAGGAAAATAGATCTCTTATCTCTGTCGGTTTAGCAGATCAACATTGCTATGTCTAAGAAAAGATGGTGTGCCCAGTGGTGGTGGCACACACCTTTAATTTCAGCACTTGGGAGAGAGAGGCAGGTGGATTTCTGTGAGCTTGTGGCCAGCTTGAAGAGAGGATTATATAATAATTGCTTTTTCTCACTGTTGTGACCAAATACCTGACAAGAAGCCATGTAAGGGAAGGAGAGTCAGAGTCTGTTCTGTCTTACAGTACCAGAGGATCATTCTATCATGATTACAAAGGTATAGCAGCAGGGAAGGAAGAGGAGCAGGACCCTGGTTGCTCATACTGTATCCATAGTCAAGAAACAGAGAGATATGGACACTGATGCTCGACTCATTGGCCACTTTTTGCTTACTTCAGAGACCCCAGCCAATGAAATACTACCACTCAAATTTATGGCAGATTTTTTCCTCCTTAATTTATCTATTTAGATAATCTCTTACAGGTATGTAAGAGACTTCTCCCCTGGATGATTCTACCTTGTGTCACGTTATTAATCACTGTTAATCAGTGCGGACCGTTTAATAAAGATAGGGAAATGTACATTACTGGGAGTTGATAGAATGATTGAATGTAGAACCTAGATAGGGCTAAGTGCTAACAGGGTACTGCTGTTTGTATGGTTTGGTATCCACACACCTGGAATGGAGACCCGAAATCAGGGGTAAGACTTGGATATAGGCTCTGGAGAATTTTAAAGAACACTAAAATCTGTGAAAACCTGTGAATTCTTTACCAGTGCCCTGCTTTGAGAAGTCTCATGGTTTCCCTCTGGTTTGCACAGCACTAATTTCATCAAATCAGGGGTGTAGGGTTTCACACCAGAGGCCCAGTCACCAGAGCACTCTGGTTCAGCAACTGCTATCTTGAAATGCTGACTATGTCCTTGAATCAGGCAATCCAATTAGGCACACACAAATTACAAAGTCTATATACCTAAAGCATTTTTTTCTGCAAAAAATTCAAAACCTCCCTGGTGAATTTGCAATCAAGGAAAACCCTCTTTCTTCTTCATGTTTTAAAAGAAATTGGGAGTTGGACACAGGACAGAATAAGACAAACATTTCCAATGTTGAATATTATCTAAGAGATTCCAAAGTATAAAGCAACATTGTTTGAATAAGTTGTGAGTGGGAGAGAGGAAGACAGAGAGTAAGATTGGTGGTTTAATTGTATCGTGTTCCCTAACAAAGGATGGCAAATATTGTATTTGATAATAAGGAGAGGATGTCTTATTTCCATTGTTAAATGGTTGAGCAATGAAAGATTGCTTGTCATAGCCTGCGGCACTGTCAATCACAAAAGAGCAAAGTGAATTCTTATTTTCCTAATCTTTGCAGCACACAGTTTCTCTGAGAGTTGAGAGGAAGAATGAGCGAGGGAGAGAAAAGAGGGGAAAATTCTAGGGGTCTGAATGACTTTGGGCTTATGCCTGCTTGTTTTCTACTTAGTTGATACTTAGTTTCACTTTTCCCACACACTCACCCTGGGTCCATAGTTCTTTACTTGGCACAAATCTCCTCAGGTTTAAAGATGTCTGAGAACTCTTCCATTTTCCAACTCCTTCTGCCTGTTCTGCAGAGTTTGCTTGTTATGTTTAAATGTTACAGAGATAGCAGAGTCCTTAAGTTTAGATCTAAACATCATTTTTACAGATAAAGATTCTGAAGCAAGCTGGTAAAATGATATGTTCAAGATATCAGAACTTGGGACTGGGGAGACAACCAAGGGGTAAAGTGCTTGCTACATGTGCTTGAGGACTGGAGTTCAGGTGCCCACTACCTATGAAAAAGTCAGATACATCAGTGCACACACTGGTGCTGAAGAGACAGGTGCCTGTTAGGCATGCCCTGACTAGCCAGTCTACCTAAAACAGTAAATTCCATGTTCAGTGAGAGACCCCGTATCAAAACCAAGTACAGAATAGTGGGTGAGGACTCTAGTACCGACTCCTGGGCTCCACACATGCAGTGGGTAGGCGTCCCTGCAAACACATGTGCACCCACACGCCTACAACACACAACACACACACACACACACACACACACGAGAGAGAGAGACAGAGACAGAGATTGTGGAGCTATTTATAATAGGACTGAAAATTAGCTTTCAGGGCACTTGGTTCTGTACTTTAGTACTAGTATAAACCAAATTGGAGATGAAAATGGGTGAGAGATGAGGGCACAACTTTCAGAAACCTGATTTATGGACATGTGTTCATTGAAATAAAAGCATTCTTATTTATATCTTCCTTCTGCTGAGCATTTTCAGACCCTCAGCAACAAAATTTTTATGAGAATTTTTTGGATTTATTTTACAGTTGATAAAGAATGTAAATACAAGATCTTTATGGGCCAGATTCAGATTAATAAAGTCCAACATATTCTCTCTCTCTCCTTCTCCGCCCTTCCTCTCTCTCTCCCTCTTCCTCCCCGCCCCCATGTTTAATAGACTATAAATCACCAATGGTGGTTTTAATTCACTTATAGATCTCTTACTCTTATTACGTTTTTTTAAATACTCTATTCTCACTATATGAATAACTTGTTATTCATAAATGTGTCCATAGAAAATTCAACCTGTCTCCTAGTACACTAGGTTTTAGGGAACAAAACGGTGTTCATTGTATGTACCCTTGTTTTTACAGAGTGGGGATCCTAATATTTAAGCTTTCCTTCTTAAAATACCATCCTCTCATTGCTGAATTACTCTGACAACTCTATGTCTAGTTCTTCTTTATAAAGAAGCAGGAAAAAACCAAGACCAATGATATTAAAGCTTTTTCAAGTTTGGCTGGAAGTCTCTAGGAGGCTAAGAACCAAGACCACGCCTCCTGCATCTGTTTATTTCCAATTCCCTATCACCATATTCTGCCTCCCAAAAGAAAAAAAAATTTAAAGTTTTTTTTGGATATATCTGGCAGTTTGTTGTTAGAGGAATCCACAGGGGAAAATGCAAATATCAAAAGCCCTAGTGTTCGCTCAATGTCATAGGAACACCTGGAATGAATGGAAATTCATTCTAGGACACGTTGGCTGGATGCATGCTAAAAAAGAGGATTGTGTATAATGGTGATCAAACCCAAAGGAAATAGAAGACCTGTCATCATTATTTTTATGTTGTTCGGGTGATATTTACATACACAGTAATGAGAGTCAAGATAGTCCTCAATGTTATGTGAGAACATATGTATTTTTAATTTCCATCAGTGTCATGACATAGACTTTTTTGGTGACTAAAAAAGTTCAATACTCTACAAATGAAGTGGAGATGAGAAGAAACAATATTGTTGCTGCAGGGACATTTAAGCATCCTTCTAATTTCACGTGTGTTTGTTAAAGGCCTATTATGTGCCAGTTACTAAATTAGGCTCCATGACAATGGAGTAAATAAAGTAGGAAGAGAGGGAAAGAGAGAGAGTAAAGAGGGATGACTAAAATTTATTAAATAATTGTGAAAATGTCAAAGAATAAAAGTAAGTAAATAGAACATAGTCCATATTAGGAGGTCTCTGTCACAAGTCATCTAAAATTCACAGCAAACTGGCTTAAGAAAAACTGTAATCTAGTGGTTTATGTAACTTAAAGTTGAGGCCATTGCTTTACTAGAGTTCAGATGACGTCATTAGGACCCATCTTCTCCCTTCCACATCTTGGTCCTGCCTTCCAATATATCACCAATTTTAAAAGGAGTGGTACTGGTGACTGTGATGGCCAATATTAATTGTCCATTGGACAAAACTAGAATGAACTAAAAAACAGATTATGAGGGATTCTTTCAACTGGGTTAATTAAGATGGGAAGAGTCAATCTAACTGTGAACAGTATTCCAGCCTGCAGGTCCTGGACTGAATAAAAAGGAGAAAGTTGGATAAGTTGAGTACCAGAATCCATCTGTCTCTCTCTGTGTTACCTGATTTCAGAGAAAATGAGACTAGTTGCTGCAAGTTTCTGCCACAATGAATTCGCCATCACGATGGGTTGCCACCCCACACCGTGGGCTAAATAGATCTTTCCTTCCTTAAGGTTCAGTTTTCAGGTATCTTGTTCCAGCATTAACAATAGTAACTAATTTAGGGATTTAGCTCAGGAGTAGAGAGTGCTTGCCTAACAAGCACGAGGTCCTGAGTTCTGTTCCCAGCACTGGGTGGGGACAGGGGAAGCAGGAAGAGAAAAGAGTAACTTGCTTTTAGGAATCTGTGGTGCTAGCTGCTCACCAGTGATGCAGCACAGCTCTTTGGCAAGGGCCTGAGTCTCATGCAGTCTCGCTAACTACAGTATTAGTTATTTCTTTTGTTTCTATGTCCAAATACCTGAAAGAAACAATTTAAATGAGGAAAGGTGTATTTCAGCTTATATTTTGAGGGTACAGCTTATCAGGCAGTAGCTAAAGTGGCAAGAGGCTCCATGGTGGCAGGATTGTACAGCTGAGATGTCTCGTCTCACATCCTGGTGAGACAGGAAGCAGAGACCAGGAAGTAGGGCTGGGTGACAAACCTCAGTGCTACCCATAGTGTCCCACTCCCCACTTACCTTCTAAAGGGAATACTGACAAAATACTGCCACCAGTATGCTCAAACACCAATGCTCAAACACCTGAGCCAATCACGATACGGTCACAATCAAAGCACGATAGTTACCATTGGGTCACATGCTTTCTGTGCACTATGCAATGATTTTGTTAGCTTCTTCCCCATGGAGGAAATTGGTGTACCTTCGGACTATAAGTGGACACTGACCACAGCATTCTCCTCTCCTTGGGGAACTTATTTACCAGGAGAAAATGGCTAACCGTCCTAGTAAACTGAAGAGGAG